CGTCGGTGAATTGGATATTTATAATATTTATTTCAAGTTAAAAAATTTAAGTTCTAACTTTTGCAGAAAATTTAATGACAAAAGATTATTTATTATAATGCTTATAAAAAATTTAAAAACAATTTTAAAAAATAAAGAGCGCAACACAGAGAGAAAGATGAGATATTTTTATGTGATTTGGCCAAATCCGAAAATAGGCCTACGACCATGTTGAGCCACCACATGCTGAGAATTCACTATATCAAAATCAAGATTATAAAGATTCTATCGTTTTCTCTTATGTCAGTTAATTACAACCCTCGGACCAGACGCCACCAAAGGATCTAGGGGTCGAGGTGCTCAAGGCAGTTTTTCTTGCTCTCTAGAGATAAGATCCATGAGAGAGATGCAGGAATCCCTCGAAAAGTGCTAAGTGGACACCCCCTCAGGTGACGACAAGATCCGTACTTGACGAGTAGCAAAGGGATGAAGACTAGTGTGAGCGAGCAACATCGAGGCAAGTCGCCGAGAAGTTCAAAGAAATGATTACATGGCATTACTAACAGACCCAACAATCCCAGAGAAATCGACCGCCCTAAATGACGGATAATTGGCTGTTGTGTAATCAGTCAGAAAACTTGGACACCTTCCGGTTGCGGACATGTAGAGTCTGTACAATAGATTATCTTGGGGTGTCCCTCTTTCTGCTAGCAATAAACAGTTGTAATTTTATGCATTATATTATATTTTTCCACCAACCTTACAATTTTTGCATTACTAAAATGAGATCCTTCATTGGTAATGATTACTATTGGCATACCATATCTTGTAAAAATAGTTTTAATTAAAAATTTTGAAACACTCCGAGCATCACATCGAGGTAAAGCGATTGCTTCAATCCATTTTGAAACATAATCCACTGCAATCAATATATACACATTTCCAAATCTAGGTATAAATGGTCACATAAAATTCAATCAAAATTAAAATTTAGAGGCATTTAATTTCTTTTTGAAATATTACCTACTCTCCGACACCTATCACATGTTTATATATATATATATATATTAAAATCTCTAAATCGAGTATATATATATTAACATATGTAAATAAAGTAGACCAATAAAATCCAGATTTCAAAATTTTATGAATAGTTCTATCATTCCTAAAATGTCCTTGAAATTCAGAATCATGACATTTTTGGACAATTTCCTGAATTTCTTTATAGAACACATATCGTCTCATTACTAAATATTTGCATTGTTTGTAAAAATATGGGTCATCTCAAAAATAAGATTTTGCATCATGAATGAATTTATTTTCCTGTTGTTTTGTCAGTCCATATGGTAAATTATCACTAACAATATAATTCACAATATTAACATACCATAATGTTTCTCTTCCTTTTACAACATAAAGTTACTCTTCAAGAAAAGTTTCATTAATCTCTTTTTCCAAATCAAGTATTTCTTTCTGTTCTAGCTTAAATAGATAATCAACAATTTGATTAATAGACCCTTTTTATCGACTACTACAAAATCAAACTCTTGCATCAGAAGTACCCATCTAATTAATCTTGGTTTCACATTCTTCTTTTGTATTAAATATTTAATAGCCGAGTGGTTAGTATGCACAATACATTTAGCTTCAATTAGATATGACCTAAACTTATCAAAAGCATAAACAATGACTAATAACTCTCTTTCAGTAGAGATTCAGTGATAGTGTAATTAATTTGAGCCTCATTTAGATTTTACTAGCGTATATGACTTTAAAAATCTTATCATATCTCTGTCTTAAAACAACTCCAATTGCGTAATCACTTGCATCACACATTCATTCAAAAAGTTTCTCCCAATCAGGTGAAACAATTATAGGAGTAGTGATCAATTTTCCTTGAAATTTTCAAAGGCTTTAAGACGATCTTGGTTAAAGTCAAATTTGGTATCTTTTTTCCAGAAGTTGGCCTTTCCAGAGTTTGGCATAAAGGCTTTATAATTTTTGAAAAATATTTAATATATCATCTATATAATCTAGCATATCCTAAAAAACTCCTAACTCCTCTTACAGTAGTAGGTGGAGGTATGTTTGATATAACATGTTTTTGCAGGATCTACTTCTATGTCATTTTCTAAAATTTTATGTCAAAGATAAATTCCTCCTACAACCATAAATTGACATTTTTCCTAGTTTATACGAGATTAGTCTTTTCACATCGTTCTAGAACTTTCTTTAAATGTTTTAGACATATTTCAAATGAAGTTCCAAATACACTAAAATCATCCATAAAGACTTTAATCCCTTTTTCAATTAAATCACTGAAAATTGACATCATACATCGTTGAAATGTTGCAGGTGCATTACATAATCCAAAGTACAATCTCCAAAAAACAAAAGTTTCATAAGGACTAGTAAATTTTATTTTCTCTTGATCCTCTAGAGCAATAAGTATTTGATGATAACTGGTATATCCATTTAGAAAATAAAAATATCTATGCCCCGCTAGCCTATCCAACATCTGGTCCAAAAAGGGTAAAGGAAAATGATCCTTCATGGTGATAGAATTTATTTTTCTATAATCTATGCAGATTCACCATTCAATGACTTGTCTTGTGGGTATTAATTCATTATTCTTATTTGTCACTACAATCACACCTCCTTTTATTGGAACATAGTGAATTGGACTCATCCAAGTACTATCTGAAATATGATATATTATTCCAGCATCTAACTACTTTAAAATCTCTTTCTTGACAACTTCTTTCATCGTAGGATTCAATCAACTTTGAGGATCAGCTCTTGGTTCATATTGATCTTCCACTAAAATTCTATGCATACAAATTGAATGACTGATTATTTTAATATCAGTTAATGTACATCCAAAGGATTTCTTATATCTTCTCGAAGTTTTCAACAACTGTTGTTCTTGCTTATCAGTTAATTCTTGCTTGTTCTTGCTTATCAGTTAATTCTAAGGATACTATAACAGGTAATGTGGATAAATCTCCTAAGAATGTATAATTTAAATGTGTAAGAAGTGTTTTCATTTCTAGTTAAGGTTTCTCAATAGATGAAATCAAATTCTTGTTACTTTCTGCAGGATCTAACATTTCAAAATTTTCCTGAACATAATCCAAATTTACTCACTTTGGTAGATTCATCTTGAATTTATCCTCATCTTCAATTTCCAAATATTCTTTTTCAAATTTCTTTTCGGATGTCTTCTTGAAATATTTATGGCTTAAAGATTCATTGATATTCATTCTGAAGTATTCAATCTCTTGCTCTTTTGCAGGGTATCTCATTGATTTTGTCATATTAAATGTTACCTTTTGATCACTAACTCTCATAGTTAGTTCTCCCTTCTGCACATCTAGCAAAGCTCTTCCAGTGGGAAGGAATGATCTTCTTTAAATGATAGGGATTTATTTATCTTCCTCCATATCTAATACAATAAAATCCGCAGGAAAGATAAATTTATCAACTTTTACCAAAACAACATCTATAGCTCCTTTATGATAAGTAATCGAACGATAAGCTAACTGAAGAGTTACAGTTGTACGTGAAATATCTCATAAACCTAACCTCTAAAAATTGATAAAGGCATAAGATTAATACTTGCTACTAAATCAAATAAAACTTTTCCAAAAAATCTTTCGCTAATAGCATAAGGAATAGTAAATATACTAGGATCCTTAAGTTTTTCAGGAAGTTTTTTCTAAATTATAACACTACACTCCTCACTAAGTGCAACAGTCTCATTATCTATAAGCTATCATTTCTTATTAAGTATATCCTTCATGAACTTCACGTAGCTTGGCATTTATTTCAAAGCTTTAAAAAATGGAATGTTTATCGTTAATTTCCTTAATATTTCTAAAAATTTTGAAAATTGGTTATCTCTATTTTTCTGCTTCAATCTTTGAGGAAATGGAGGTGGTGATTTTTCTACAGTTATTTTCATTGGTTTAATAGGACATTCTGACTCAAAATGAGAATCTTCACCAGATTTTTTATTTTTCACCTCATCATTTTCAAATTTAACTTCCACTTCTTTTTGAACTCTGGTTTCTAATTATTTTCCACTTCTCAGTTGAATACTCAGTTGAATAGCTTCTCAGTTGAATAGCCTTAATTTGCTCTTTTTTCTAATCTTTAGGATTTACTTCAACATTACTAGGCAACGTTCCTGGAGGTCTATTGCTAAGTGCAGTAGCAATAAATCTCAATTGACTTTCCATGTTTCTAATTGCAGCTCCTTGATTTTGTGATTGGCTTCCCATTTGCAATACCAATTCTTCCATTGACAACATTTTCT